AGGAAAATGTCACAGCACCACATTCTCAGATTATCGAGGTAGTGTGAAGCAGTGTATGAAAAATTATCGACGGCGGTATCTATTATAAATGAAGAAGATTATTCGTAAAACTAATTCTGGTTGCTGAACATCCAAATTCTATCCCAACCAAAAGTGAGAGCTCTCGATTGATGAGCAAAAACTGCAAAAAATGGAGAAAATCTATATTCAAAGGGTTAATATCTCGAAAACTGTACAATTCTGAGCTTTGGCTGTGGACACTTTCAATCAGCACATCAAGAACTACAACATATCAAAATTTCGGCAAAATTCAAGGCAAGCCATTTCTCATAAGAAATGTGCGGGGTCCTTTATCAAAATATTGAGGAAATATTTTACCATCCGAAACAAAATTAATCTTCATACTCATTGCAACACCGAAGCAACTGTTAATTTTTAAAGAAAACATCGCACTCGGTAAACAGGTAGAATTTAGATTATTTTACCTACTTGCTGAATTGTTGTCTGAAATCATTTGAAGGGATTGAATTACATCAGTCTCACTGAATCATGCCGTGCCCTGAAATCACCATGGAAAACAGTTGCTCATTGATATTTACTGTCAACCTGACAATATTGTTGAAAGATCTTGTTGTATTAACCCCCAGACCAGTTTTCATTACATTTGTTGTTTCTAGTATTGTTGTTCTTTGAATCACCGTTGCTCCTGTTGTTCCTGCCGTGTTCTTGTTCCCATTGTGTTTATTGTTCCTGTATTTGTGTTGGATATTGTTCCTGTGTTCCAGTTGTTTTCTGTTCGTGAGTTCCTGTTCATATTTTAATATTTCTGAAGTTCCCATTTTAACTGATATCAGCTCATTTTGATGGACAAAGTTCAACATGGCACGTCTGTCACTTCAAGCAAAAATTGAAATTGTTTCAATTGTTGGTGAAGGGGTGAGGTCTTATCGTGAAGCGGCCGCTGAATTTAATAGAAGACACCCGCTAGAGGTAGCTGTACAAAGGACAGAAAAATTGTGAAACATCATATTGATGATACTATATTGGCGGCTCATCAAGCTGATCCTAGAATTAGTTTGAGAAACTTATCGCTTCAACTCAATATGATCAGCAGTAAAATATGGAGGTGTTCTGCGTTCAAACCTGCATTCAAACCAAAATTTTTACATACTTTGCACGAAGGAGATGAAATCCGCCGTATGGAGTATTGTTTATGGATGCAGGGAAATTATCTCAATAACAGGATTTTTTTAAAGTATATCTTATACAGTGATGATACTACCTTTACCACGAATGGTGTTGTATCTTCCCAGAACATGAGGTTTTGGGCTGAACAAAATCCAAATTGGGTGGTGAATTGTAGAGACCAAATATCTCAGAAAGTTAATGTGTGGTGTGGTATCCTGAGCGATAATATTATCTGGCCATTTTTTCGATCAAAATTTAAACGGATGACTATTCGTTGATTTTCTCGAAAATGCATTTTTCGATGTGTTGGAAGAACTACCTTTGGATGTGAGACACAGCATGATTTTTCAATTAGATGGTTCACCAGTTCACAATAGTGGCATAACAAGGATTTGGTTGAGTAGGAATCTACCTATGAAATGGATGGGACCCAATAGGCCTCTCATAGTATGGCCACCACGATCCCCAGATTTAACTCCACTGGATTTTTATTTATGGGGAAACTTGAAAAATTAAGTTTATAAGGATAGGCCAACAAATAAGGGAGATCTCCGTGCAAGAATTATACAAGCGTGTAGAGAAACCACACCTAGAGAACTGAGAAGAGTTTGAGGAAATAATAGAAGGCGCATAGAAAATATGTTCGATTGGAGGGAAATTTCATAGAAGGCACGAAAATATAAAATTGTCAACAGTTAAATCATTTGAAATTGATTGTTTTGTTTTTAATTGAAAATGTGATTTTGAAAGTAGTACTTCGAAAGAATTTTGAACTACATAACATTTTTCGCCACGAAATATCCTTGTTTTTTTTAATAATGGGAAAAGGAGAATATGAACTAACGTTAACCATCCTTAAACCTCACTGATTACATGTTTCCGTTCCTCTTACAAAATTACCATTTTCTCTTATTGAGAAGGAATAACTTTCCTGACAACAAAATAAAAAATAAATTATTTATGTGAAAACAAAAGTCGAGTTTATCTTAAACAAATAATATATCGGCGGTCCTCATTGCAGTGGCTGAACTCTCAATGCATTGTTGGACTCGAATGCCGTTCGAAAATTAACTTGAGTAAATAAAAACATAGGTATCTCTTCTTACGGGAACCCCATGTATTGGAACGATAGAAAATACAAAAATCATTTATTCAAGGTGAGTAAGGACTACTATGACAGTCTTTTGTAAAGCTAACCTTCGACATTGTCCGCCGAACTAGAAATGTGCTTTAGAACTTCTCTACGGTTTCCTACAACTACATGAAACTTGAGTCAAAAAACAAAACATTCTGATTCACCACCAGCCATTGCTGTTTCGATCTGCCGTCAGTGGTGCTAGGCGGGTGGAAACAAACCTACGGTCGGAACTGGACCAAGATTGCTCTGTTTTGGACACTGACTTCATCTGCTCTATTACGATTCGAAGGCAAAGACCAAAAACTCGAAAAAAGTAGTTGCTGATATTGATGAGCTTTGCCAAAAATATTCAAAGTACATTTTCTGTTATTTCCTCATTCAATTGGTATGATCGTGACACAACTATCAAAAATGTAGTTGCTGAAACACTAACTAGTTGGTGATAGCTAAAAACTTGGACTCCACTTCAAGTTATCTGTCCAAACCATGATAGCGGTTTCAACTGATCCACCAAGGTTTTATATCAAGTAAGGTGAGGAAGTAAAGGTTGTGTAAGGTACAGGATGTAACTGAAGCTTCAAAACGTTAAGAGAACAGTGTAAGTGCATGTCCAGAAAGCTATATAGAACTGGGCGCTGCCTATTAACATTTTGAAGCACAGTTCTGAAATAAAGCAAGAAGATTTACAGATTTTAGTACATTTATTGAAGAAAGTGATCACAAATGAAAAGTAGAGATATGTTACACAGAAACAATCCATGGGTATTAGTCGGGAGAGCTTCAGTTCTATATAACTCCAGGTTACTATGCGAAAAATTGAGTTTCACTTGTCTTTTCCCGGTTCTATCACATCGTTATTCAATTGTCCTAATTTGGGTGTGAAGCAATGAAAGAAGGGGAAGTAAATCGTTCGCAGTGGTAACTAAAACATAATTCAACTGGAATAATAAGAGAGTTCGATGGGTGGCTATTACATCGAACTGCTTTCCAGAGTTTCATTTCAAGTGTCATCATCATCATGGCTATCATTATCATCATCGTCGACATCGTCATTATTATCCGATATGAATATTACTGAAGGTTTATCCATACACCAAACCGTTTATCTTCAACACCTCGACATGTGATTATACTAAACTTAATGATCCTCTTGAAGATGATCACTTGGTGATTGAAAAACGTGCCGAGGTGTTGAAAATAACGGTTTTGGGTTGGGAAAAAACTCCAGTAGTATTCATTGCAACAGTCCCAAACAGTGCATCACGAGTACATTATCATATACGTCGATCAAAAAATAGATAACACATGCTGATGTGATGAAGTTCAGATTTTCATTTTGACAATGTGTTTGAAAGATAAATCGGGTTTCCGATTGACTTGAACTTTAAATGTTCCAGCCCGTCTCGAATATACCTATACAGTAGGTTGAATGGACTGACGCCTATCAGAAAACAACTACTCCACTAGCTAATACTACGAATGGCATTGGATTATATCCGATAGGCGTCAGTGCAGAAATCTCAACAGAACATTTCCTGCATATGCAATTGGCAATACAACTGGAAGAGTCGACCTTCAATTTTGGAACGGGCACACTTGCAGACCGGTTTCGGGCTCCTTAGTCGCTCGTCAGTGCAAGATAGTGGCCATCATTGACCTAAAGTTAATGATATTCCATAATTGAAAATCGAAATTCTTTCAGAGTATTTCATTCCTCTTTCTAAGTCGGAGCGAACAACAAAAATGTCACTCCACTAACCAAATGGTACTCCACTAACCGAGGTACTAACCAAATGCATATCCGAAATTTGCCCGATTCCTCAGAATAAGGAAGGGAAACTTTCTTATTAGGCAGTAAACTGCCTAATAAACAGGCAGAGAAATGTAAAAAATCTCAAATTATCAATGAAACACAGTGATACGACAGTGTAGGATGATTATTAAGCTACTTAATGAATTAATGAATTCAGATCGTACAGTTTTCATCGAAACTAAATCAAGTTGATATTGAGATAGTTCCATAATTTAGGATAAATTTGCAATCATACACTGGGACGAATTCAACATTTTTATACAGGAACAATGACATGGAAGGATCTGATATGAAAAGTACAGAAAAATCTTTTCATCCAAAAAGAAAATCCAGATTTTGGACTAATCAGCTCAATGTATTCGTCTTTATATTTCAAAACTTCGGTAAGATGAGATAGAAAGATTAGAGAAGGAACCATCTGATGTAAACAAAAAATGGTGCGATGAAGAAACAGCAACATGTGAAAATTTATATTTTATGTATATTACTGTAATGCTATTAAAGATATCTCTTGTGATTCTTGAAATGACGATTGTTCAGAAAGAAAGTACATTTCAGAGTTTTATGATGAAAAAAAACATGCCTATTTGCTATCAAAGCTTTTTGACGTAACGACCCTATTTTGTGTTCTGTGTCTAATAAAATCTAGAAAGTTTTATGTAGTTTTTTCATTATCATTAATCATTCAAAATTATCCCATAACTGTGTTATTTCACGGCCACCCAAAGACTTTAGTTACCACTGGAACGAAAACTCCATATGATTTCCTAATTAAAAAATATGTGACTATCCCTCTATTTCGTACTCCTCCGTTTCTTCAGATTCGTAGGTTTGGGAAGATTCGAAACTAGATGTCATTACCTTTCTATTGGCCGACACCTCGACGTTCTCCGATTGTTTGACAGACTTGGTGGATTCGATTTGTTGCGTTCTATGGTCTTCGACTATAGACTTCTTTATGCTGCTGTCGAACGTGGCTCCTTTCTCCGATATCTGCGTGTGGCCAAGGTCTCTGTGGCTCTGGAAATGCCAAATATTTGTAAATATAGTGACAGTAGTAGGCTATTGAAAATCAAATGAGAATGGCAGCATTCAATTTTACAATGAAAATTGTGGAAAACGGAAACAAAATATCTCACAGTAAAATATTTGAAAATTGTCTGAAAAAAAAGAATATTATGTTCACAAAGTTAGGTTGAATTTAGGCGGGTTAGCTGTCCTTGTTCATCTTTCACGGATACGGAAATGACAGAATCACTTGTGGTTCTGTTATTCCCTAACTGAATGGCATCCCAACGATTGCTTAATCCTAAGGTGTGTGTATCCGTGCCGAGAGGATGAATGACACTGAGCCTATCGGCTGTCTCTACGGAACCTTCGAGATACCGGGCGCCCTCTCGTCGTAGCATCGCCTTGTCACGGTAATGCGGGACACTGCCGTGATTGACCTTCTTTCCCCAGCTACTTGTGAGACTTTTATGAACAGAGTAAACTTAAAAATTCTTTCTGGCGCTTAGTCTACAGAGGAGATGGATGTCGAGCTTATGACTCCAACTGACCTCCCTGTGAATTTAGGTCAAGAGCGAGAGTTTCTCAACTCTTCAACTTCTGATACAATAACTGAAACTAAAAAAAAAGGTTTGGTGGTGCAGCCAGAAAACGACTGAGTCGTCTCCTCAAGAGCGGGGTACCGTATGAAACCGCCTTGCACCAAATTCTTGAGCGGCGTACACAGATTCTGTTACAGGTGGAGGAACAAACCCATCATGAGCAGGTTGGCAAACATTTGCGCTCAAGTGATGATTCACCAAAACCAGAGACGAAAAAGCCTTGCACGGTTGAGTTTCAGACATCGTCAGGTGTAGCTGTCATGCGGGTATCAAGGTGGGAATCTTGCACCTTCACTATCCGACTACCTCATTAACGATGGAACAGCAGAGCATATACTTCGTGTCTGCCCCGCTTGCGACCGAAGCAGGTTTTTAGAGTTTGGCAGAGCCATACTCTTACCATCTAACCTGAAAAACCACTCACCATATAAACTAATCGGCTTCGTTAAGAAGGTGAGTTTATTTGGTCGAGTGTGAATAGGTGTGAGCCACAATACCCTTGTGGGTTGCGGTGGAGGGTCGAATAGACCCACTCACTTTGGACCTTACCCTAACCTAACCTAGATTGAACTTTTGCTCTGTAACAGTATTGTTTTTAGATTATGGAGAGACATATAATGATTTCTCACAATATTCAAAAACGATACTCAAACCTGAGGTACTACAATGGTACTTTGTGAATATGATCTTGTAATATAAAAATAAAAATCGTTGAACACAAGTAGGGAAACGTAAAAAGAGTGTGAGGCTTAAAATTGGCTTTGATTAATAACAATTGATCAGACTTGATTTCATTTGAAGTAGTACTAAATTGAAATAACTGGCCCCGAGGTTGTCTTCTTCGTATATAATACCAATTTTTTGTATCCTTTCTTTGATTTAGATTTCATAATTTTTAACGTTATCTTTTTTATCAAGAATTACTTCAATTTATCGAACGCAAGTAATTTTTTTGGAGGAAAATCAGTACACATCAAATTATCATGCGAGTGTCAAAAAAGGTATAATTAGTCTGGTTCATATGTACTCGATTTAGCTCTTTTTGGTGACATTTTTCAGCCCTGTTCAAATATTACGACCAAGGTGTCATTCGATTCGTAATTTTGCCTAGAAAGTTCAGGGTAAGGTCTGAAAACGCGCCGATAAAAATTACAAAAGTTATAAACAATTAAGTGAAAAAAAATGGGGCTTTAATTTTTTCTTAATATCTCGGAAAATTTTCAAAATTTTGGAAATTTGAAAAAAGATTTGAAAAGATCAATGAATGAACCTCTATACCCATCACG